CTGGGGCCGCGCTTTCGCAGCCGCTGCGCCTCCGCCTAGACTAGCCTGGGCTGCTTGTTTTGTCTCTGAAATTGACAAGGACGCAGGGAATCCGCTGCTAAATAATGTTTCTGGTAACTTTCACGTTCTTCCTCCTACCCTCCGCTCCCTGCCCCCGGGGAGGCACTGGCCCTAGTCTTCCCTCGCCTTTGGCGTCCTCGTCCTGATTATTAGCGTTTTTCTTCTCTTTTTATTTTGTTTCATTTCGCCTTTTGATTTATTGGATCCTTCGGCGGAGGCGGAGGGGGGTGAGGGGTGGGATCGGGGCTTCCTCCTCGCGTCTCCCGGGGTTGCTCGCTGTGCCTTTGCAGCCTCCGGCGGGAGCGGGGCCTCCCTGCGCCCCCTGCATCCCTGGCCTCGTCGCCTTCCTCTTCCTCCTCTAAAAGCTGCTCTTGGGTCGTGCTGTTTCATTTAGGATTTTAAAACAAGCCCTCTCCCCGTAACTTTCAACTCCGTTGTTTCGGCTGGTTTGGTTTCTTGTGTGTTCAACTTGTGCTGGGTACTTTTGTCCTTTCTGACTTTGTTTTTCTCCCTCTCTCTCTCTCTCTCTCTCTCTCTCTCTCTGTCCCTCCCCCCTCCCATCTCTGTCCCATTCCCACTCCTGGCTTCGCTCTCTTTCCCTTGCTTCTTTTTCTCTTTCCTCGCTCTGTTCTATCTCTCTGTCTCTTCTGTTCTCTTTCACCCCTGCGCGCCCTCCTCCTGGCCGGCTCTGACAGTACGATGAGCTGCCCCATTACGGCGGGATGGACGGAGTAGGGGTTCCCGCTTCCATGTACGGAGACCCTCACGCACCGCGGCCGATCCCCCCGGTTCACCACCTGAACCACGGGCCGCCGCTTCACGCCACGCAGCACTACGGCGCGCACGCCCCGCACCCCAATGTCATGCCGGCCAGCATGGGATCCGCTGTCAACGATGCCTTGAAGCGAGACAAGGACGCGATTTATGGGTAAACCGACCCCCGGACACAGCTTACTGTGTGTGAGTGTGAGCGAGAGTGTGTGTTTGTCGCGCGGGGGTGGGGTGGACAGCTAAGTGGGGAGTTGTTTCTGCATGGGTTAGGGGGCTGGTTGCCTTAGGAAAGGACAGTGGAGGGAGACAGCCCTTCTGCCCCTTTAGTCAAGGACCCGGAAGATGTAGACTCTTCTACTCCCAAGGCCCGGTGCCTCCAAACCCCACACAGCCAGAGTGGCTACGTCCTTAGAACCTTGCTGGGCCTTCTCCCCAAGGACAGGATTCCTGGCCAAAGGACGCAGGGCTGCTTGTTCCAAGCCCCCTAACAGAGGCCTTGATGAAGGGGAAAGTTTCCTGCTGCTAAAGAGCAACTTTTTTTTCCCCTCTTCAGTTTCCTACCGAGGGTCTGGGAGTCACTAAATGCAGGCTGAGCTGGGATCAGGGTTGCTTCTGTCGGCCAGGAAGTCCTAATCACCTACTCCTTAATTCTCTGTAAATAAAGGGGAAGACCTTGAAGTGCAGCGGGGTGGAAGGGACTGCTGCTTGCCCAGAGCTGTGCTGGGTTGGGGGAGCAGGGGAGATGGCTGGAAATTATTTTCCGTTCGGAGAGAACTCGGGGAGGGGTGGGCACGCACAGCACTAACGCATGCACCGCGGGCTCTTCCGGCTGAGGGTAGGTGGGGAAGGCAGCGGGATGCCGAGGGGAGGGGACAGTGGGTAAACAGCAACTGAGCCCAGAGCCAAAGGCCGCAAGCATCCCCGAAGTGTAGCTGAACCTCCCCGAGGAACACAAAGGGCATTTGCGCACGCACACTTCCGAGTTTTAAAACGCAATTTATTTATTTTTGTCTGCTGTAACGCTGGGAGAAATGTGGTCTTTGGAAGACAGCTCTTTGGTGTTTAACATTCCTATTATTTTGGCCCCCACACCCGGGCTTTACTAGAAGTAGAGCAAACAAGTTTATAAGGCAAGGGGATGGAGAGATAAGAAGATTGCTGTCTCGAGTTTAGGCAGTGTCTCTCCGGTGTGTGTGTGTGTGTGTGTGTGTGTGTGTGTGTGTGTGTGTGTGTGTGTAGGCGCGAAGCGTTTGGCCTTGTTTGAAATGCCCTTTAAAGCCATTTTTTATTTCCAAGATCCTCCCTTTCTTGGGAGGTCAGGGCTGGGTCTCTGGGGTCGGTTCTCAGCCTCTGTGGTGTTGAGGGAGCCTGCATGCACTCCCGGCTCCACGCTACCCCAGTTTCTTGGTTGTTTCATTACGTTCCAACAGAGGCATTTTTTTTATTTGGCGGGCAAAAGTGGCTGGAGGCATCTCTGACCAGATCTGAGGGACTTCTGAGCCGATGGGAAAAGGCCAGGCTGTGTTTCCTTTCTGTTTCTGACCCAGGCTCGGCTGGCTGAGGAAGGGCTGGAAAGTGTGATGCGTGCCTGTTGTGTTAAAGGACTCCAACCGTCCAAACTTGTTGATTACAGTTCTCCCTCCTTCCCCTCTGCACCCCGTCTCTGTGTGTGTGTCTCTGCGTGGCGCTGCCCGTTAGGCACCCGTTGTTTCCTCTGTTAGCTCTGGTCTTTGAGAAGTGCGAGCTGGCGACCTGCACGCCCCGGGAACCCGGAGTGGCCGGTGGAGACGTCTGCTCCTCTGACTCCTTCAACGAGGACATCGCAGTCTTCGCCAAGCAGGTCCAACCTCCTCGACCCGCTAGCCCTCCTGCGGCCCACCGCTCTCCCTCCCTCCCCTTTCCTCTGAGCTTTCCACCGAGCTTCACCTGAAAGAGTAGGGAAAGGCCGGGACACCCAATCCCTCCCTCTGGCCCACTGCACTCTGCGTGCCTCCTCCCTATCCCTGAGCCTGGGGCAAACTGGAAGCCGAGATAAACAGGGGTGTCTGCCCCCTCCCCAGCCAGGAATACAGGGGCTCGACCCTTGAATTAAAGTTGACCTGCCCCTAATCTGGGGCTTGGCCTTTTCCATTGCCTGCAGCTACTAGAACAAGAATTGGGGAGAGGGGCTATGGGGGACGGGGAGTGCCCGGGAGCCAGGGAAGCTGGCGCCTCTCGGAGCAGACTGGCCTGGAGGCGAGGGAAGTGCAGAGCCCCAGCCCTTCGGAGGGCTGTATCGGGGAGTACTGCGGCCTGAGAAGGGCCCTGCGTTGCTTGCTACTACTCCGCAGAAGCCGGTGTCCCTTAATGGGGCCAGGAACAGAAGGCCCTGCTTGTTTTTCAGGCGATCCCACTAATTTCAGCCACCAGGTTTCTTCGTGTGTTTTACTAAAGTCCCTCTCCTCCCGTCCTCCACAGCAGCTCAGTGGTAACAGGGTTTGCCTTCCAGAGCGATGGAATGATTCACGCTGACTTTCCCTGCTTCTTATAGGTTCGCGCCGAAAAGCCACTTTTTTCTTCAAATCCAGAGCTGGACAATTTGGTAAGGCTCTCTGACTTGTGCTCTTTCCCGGCGCTGGCCTTTCCCCTGCCGGGGAGCACCTACTTTCTCGGGGAGCCCCAGGGAGTTTGAGCAGACCCCCCACACCCACACTTCAGGAGCTGTGGGGCGTTAGGGAGGAAGGGAACAGCTCGGAGCCTGCGAGGAGATGGCGAGATGGGGGTGGCTTCTAGGAGGGCGAAGCCCTTGAGGCTGAGTCCTGGGGCTCGGGTCGAGAACTCGGGCCTCCGCAGTGAGCAGCAAGAAGTGAGTTATTTCCTCTGCTGGCTGGGGTGGGCTGCGGACCCGGGCTGCTAACCCTAAGGAAGTAACCGCTGCGGCGAGGGCGGGCTGGGGGTGGGCGCTGGGGTGAGGGCCAGGCCAGCGCAGGCCACTTTTAGGTGCAATTCTTTTGCTAATTTGCACGATTTCAATATTAAAAGTACTTAAATCCGCTTTCAAAGGCCCAGCCTCGCCATTCATCTTGAGTATTTCCTTCTTTAGTGAGGACGGATTTCGCTGGGTTTGCGGTTCTAAAAGGCTTTTTCGGTCCCGAGAAGCGACTTTTTTTTTTTTTTTTTTTTTTTTTTTTTTTTTTTTTTTTTTTTTTGCCTGAGGTCGAGGGAGGGGACTGTGAAAGAGGACTCGGGCGGGATCTGAAGGCCTATTCCGAGGAAAGCAGTTCTTACAAATAAACTGCACATTGAATGTCAGGGGAAAGGTATTAATATGAAGCTTAGGTCGAGTCCGATTCTACCCCGTGGCCAGTGAGGCAGAGACGATCAGTAATCACTTGGTTTTGCTGAGTATTTCTTGATGTGTGGGTTTTGCCTAGACACCTGCTTGGGTTTGTTGTTTTGTTTGTTTGTTTTTTGTTTTTCCTCCGCAGCCCAATTCACTCAATCTCCCACCCCCACCCTCTACCCCGAAGGACCTCGGAGTCTCAGGGCCCTAACCCCAAGCTCTTAAACTTTCCTTTCAGATGATACAAGCAATACAAGTACTAAGGTTTCATCTTTTGGAGTTAGAAAAGGTAAGCCGGAAATAACATTCTACTCCCGTGTTGATTAAGCCACGACTCCTAATTGATTGGGCTATGTTCTGCAAACCTGCAGTGGGAGGGATTGCATACCTGGAGATTTTGAACATGTTCCCACCTCCAGTTGCTCCTCCACCCAGGGGCTCGGAGGATGAGTGAATCAGGACAACCCTGCCCTTTAAAGCACCCCCCCCCAACTTTTCCCTCTGAACATTCAGGATTATTTTGGAATGAAGCGATTCATTTGTGCTACTGGACACTGTCCACGTGTGTTTCTATTAGCTCTGCTCACCCTGGGCCTAGAGTTTGCAGTTGGTGTAAGCAAAGGGAATCATCCTCTCTGTGGTGTCTTTACAGGGCTCTGCAGCTCACTTTCCCTAGCAAGCAAGACTCCTGGCTTATTGAATGGCAAATATTACTGCTATCCCTAGACCCAAGGTTTTAATATTTTGAAATGATCATAAAATTGGATTTTCCTCTCTGGTCCCCCAGTTTGAACCCAGTATTCCCAGTCCTATTTCTTTCCCTCTTTTTATTGTAACTTGTTGCTCAGGGAAGTCTCTGGAGAATAATATCTGCTGCAACAATTGCTCTATTGTTTCCTCGCCTTCAACTATACCCCTTAATTAGAGTTAGTTTGGAAGACATCACATTGTTGCTCTTTCCAAAGCAACCTGATATTTTTTCCTCTTTAAAAATGAAACACACAATAACAACATAAGCTAAACTCTCCACCATAATCCTCCTTCTAGGTCCACGAACTGTGTGATAACTTCTGCCACCGGTACATTAGCTGTTTGAAAGGGAAAATGCCCATCGACCTTGTCATTGATGAAAGGGACGGCAGTTCCAAGTCAGACCATGAAGAACTTTCAGGTTCCTCCACAAATCTCGCTGACCATGTAAGTCTGTGAGCCTTTGGCATTCTTTTAAAGCCACTGGATAAAAACCTTTTTTCAAAAACTTGTTTTAACATCTAATTCCACTGATTTAGTTTTCTTTTCTGTTTTAATGATTTGGTTGGTCTCTTTGGGGGGCTTTCCTCTACTTTTCTACCGTTATTGTGCTCTTTTTGTCTCCCTTCTCTTGGACCCCCTCCTTATATATGCTGAGAGCCAAAATAATAATAACAATAACAACAACAACAACACCAGGGAAACAAACCAGGGAGTTGATAGAATGATTTGTTCTCTTAATGTGTAAAGTTTCCTGGATTTGGTGACTTGTGTGTTAGCAAATTCTTTCTTTTGATATGATGTCTGCTGTCTTTTTCTGGTTTTTCAACTCTGTATACAGTAATCAGTGCAGCAGGGATAGAAAGAGGCAAGGCAGTGGGACAGGACCTGGGGAGGGTGGCTGAAGGAGAAAATTGGGGAGCAAGGACTGATTTCCCAGTCTCTCCCAGAGATGAAAATCCTGAGAATTATTGGCAATCTTGCCAATAATTGCATTAGAAATAAAAGAAGGAGTGAATGAACACATTACAATTCTCAGGGCTTTTACTCTATAGAAACTTATTGTCAGAATATAGACTTATTGCCAAGTGCCAGAAGCACCTTCATAATAAGAGACAGTAACCTTGATGGACCAGTTATTAACAATGTATTACAGAAAGCTGAAGGGAATTATGATTGAGTAACCATAGGTTAGTGGTTGAATTTTAACACTTAAACAGTTGGTGAATGAGGACGGAGAGTATAGTAAGGAATGACTATGTATGTCAAGCCAGGAAAGGAGATTTCTTTCTATTCTCTCTGTTTTTAATCCTATTTTGGAACCAATCTAGTGAGTCTGATGCTTTAAAAAAAAAAGCATATGTAGTGAGACTGAAAATTTGAAAAAGAAGCAAAGAGAAGAAAGATTACAGCTGGTAGGAAAGGCAAGAGTGGCGAGGTTAAAGAGTGGGTGTGAACAGCAGTTTATTTATAGGAACTCAAGCCTGGGGGTGGGGGACAGGGTTTCTATACATTGAGTTGAACTCACAACCTAGATGATAAAGGCTGTAGTCTGATAACTTCGTGGCTGAAATATTAATTTGACCCCCTGTATGAGTTAAATAGGCCCTGCCTCATGAAGGCAGTTTATGACCCGCCCCCCATGCCTGAGTGTTAAGAGTAATGAATTGAGACACCTGGACAGTAAACTTTCTGTGAGGCTTTCTTTTCCTGTCACCTAAAGTTTTGAAAATATGCAGGTGTAGATTTTAATAATTAACCTTTGCACCATCTGAAAAACCAGCCTAAGAATACAAGTTGAACAAAAAAAGGAAAGAAAAGAAAAGAAAACCTCAGTCTGGGATGTCCAGTTGTGAGGCAGAATAAATACCATGGTGTTGAAGGCTCCTATACCTGTCTTTACCCTTACTTCTTTCTAGCGCCGTGGGGGAAATGCTGTGGGCGTCTTTGTACTCTGGCTGTGTTAAATGAAAGCAAAAGGGTGCAGCAGCAGCTATGGAAAGTTTATTTGCTCAACTATGACTCTACAGTGTGTATGCTTGTGGTCCACAAGTCATGACACTACCACAGAAATATTTATTTAGGTTGTTTGTTATTTGTTTATGTTCATTGCTTTCTGTTTCTATATTCATGTGCATTTACATTATTGGGGAAATAGGCAGGGATCTATTTACATGGTTTGTGGAATGAGAGGTTCACAGTGTTTGAAGCCAAAAGCTTTTCTCATGTTGTATTTCTAGGGAACCCATCTACTTGGTTTTCTAGAACGTTTTCTTGGCAACTGTTTTTCCAGTGGATGTATGGAGCTAGAGTATGCTGATGTTTATGTAGAAGAGATAAGATAAACTAGGCTGTTTGGGGTATTGGCTGATAGACAATACCAATTTATGAAACTATTGTAATATTTAAATATACACTTAAGAAAGAATTGTACTTAGGAGACTACTGCTTTAATAATTTAACAGTCATCATCTTTGGATGAAAGAGTCAAAGCTGTCATTTGTTGCTCCCCTTTCCAGCCCCCAATCAAGTAAATATGACAACTGATTTATTTTGAACCCACGAGGGCTTGCCACCTCATTGGGCGTCATAATTTAAAGCCTTTTATTTCCTAGAGATCTGAACTATAGCATTTTTACTTTAGCCCCCTGCTATTTGTTTTGAAATGAAGCAATAATTTGTTCCACCAGCACACCAAGTGGGAAATGGAGAAGCGTGCCACAGACTTGTGTTCAGTGCAGAATGGGAGAGAAAGCCTTGGAGGACTCTCAGCAGTCCTTATTCTTTGGTACCATAGGTATATCGATTGTATTCATTGCCAGGCCTCCTCCTTCAACTCTACTAAGCCAATCCTCTTATGCTTTTCAGCCTTTCGGGCAAACTCGCCCACCCTCCACCCCCCCACAGCCACAAAAAAGTGAAAGCACCACAGAACCACTACCTGAAGAGTGATGTGAGTGGGACATTTTCCGCATGTAAATGTGTCCAATTTGAATCTTCAGGTTTATTTTTTCATTTGCTTTGATATGCATATTTAATACATTGCCCCAGGCTGGAGCTCATTTGGTGCGCTCTGGCTCAGGGGTGATGATGAACCAGTTCAGAAGGCCCCAGACAGCGTGTTGTTTTCTCTGTTTTATCTGTTGGCCCACTATTCTGATCTACTGAGCTTCCTCGTGGTTTTATTTGCACATGAAATGCTGAGAGCATTTCAACTTATTGGCTATGAATAATGACAGCTAAAAAAGAAATGTAGTTTAATTTGTTGTGTGCCAAGGTTTCTCTAGTGGAGGTGACAGTTTGTGACAGCTGTTTGACACCCCCAAAACACATACACCTCTATCCTTATTAAGTGGTATCAAGCTACATTGTGTGTGTGTGTGTGTGTGTGTGTGTGTGTGTGTGTGTGTGTGTGTAAGGCAAGGAGAGAAAATAAGCATGAATTTGGTGTATAAGGAAGCAGAGAGAAGTGTCGAAGGGAAAGTACCAGTACAGTTTTTTATTTTCTTAAGAACTTGAAAATATAAATGAATAGGAGTAACAGATATAAATAGCTTCAAAACAAGTGTTATTGGTAGACTTTTAAGAATGGATTTTATATACTGTTAAGTGGGAAACCATGCTGATTTCACATTCGGTGATGTCTTATAAATATTCCTATATAAATAATTGCATTAAAAGAGGATAACCACAGCAGTCTTGCCTTCCTTTTTTTATAGTCAGTGAAAATCCTTGATTTGTACATTTATTATTAACACACATGATGTGCATAATGATAAGAGGAAGTGTAGAATTAATTAGAAAACAAAGTGTACAATAATGCTTACTATTTTGTTGGGCTTAGTAAATTCATATTGAATGCTTATATTTTTAATATTATAATATGCTTTGTCTTATACTCTTATTATAACTCAAAGATAATAGTTATAGGTAGAAAATGGCTATCCCAATATTCTTTAGCACAGTAGAGAGAAAAAATATGTGATAGTAAAGGAAACAGGACTCTGATTTTCAGCTGTAGTTCATGTTAAGTTTTTCAGGCATTCAAATTTATCCTGTTTAAATAAATATGCCAAGAAAACAATTTTTTTAAAAAGTTTCAACTTGAAAACTGTTTTGAAATAATCATGCTTTTTCTATTCTGTAGTATCTCTGAGACATAGGTGATGTCTGCATTATCTATTTTATATAATTTTAAATCCTTAAATCTAGTACAGACAAATGGATTACAATTTCATATTTATATATAAGAATATGACCTATCTTCAGATCAAATTTAAACAAATGAAATATATTTGTTTAAAAATACATTCTCTAAAGCCAATCATTACTTGCCTGAAGTGCATACAGTTATGCAATTATATTGTTAGTCCTAGTTAATGGCCATAACGAGCTATATTTTATTTTCCTTCAAAAGAATTAAGTAGCAGGAAGAAAATACAATTATGTTTATTAATAGTTAATGGCAGGTGCTTTAACATTGACTGGCTCTGATAACATCACTAATAAAACAAAATTTACTTAACTTTTATGCTATAATTTAAATAAAGACATGCCAACATTTTCTTTTGCAACTTTGGATATGTCAAGTTTATTTATGTCTGTACAATTTTTAAAATGCATTACATTAGAAGGGAGAATCCCCAGAATTGTGATGCCTGACAGAATGCTGTAGATAAATGCTATGATTACCTGAAAAATTAGAAATGAGTGGTAGTGCAATGAGGTTTAGGTTTAAGTGGTTGTTCTCTGGAAGATCAAGAGAGAATAATGAGATTTGATAATAATATTAATAATGTGAATGAGTGACTTTTCCCTTAGTTTCTTCCATGGCAATGTAAGATTAGATGCTATGGTGAGTCATCCAAAGCCTCTTGGGACCCTTCCTACAGAGGGCTGTTCTGTCCATCAACTCTAGGAGACATGCTGGGGAAAAGGCAGGGCTTTTTGTTTGGTTTTGTTTTTTGCTGCTACGTAGGTTCTGACTTTTGCTAACTTTCCTATTATTTTCTCATCAATAATAATTATAATATTTAAATCATTTAGGTTGTGCAGTTGGAATATGTTTTCAATATAACAGAAGAAATAAAAGATAGGTATACTTGATAACCATATGGACATTCGCTAACAGATAAGAAAATATAGTGTTATTTGAATTCATTTGAATTAATTTTATACTGAATGTTCTCAAAATATCCCAATACAATTTAAAATTAGAAGAATCTTTACAATATGGCAATACACTAACAGTACATTTGTCTTCTCTGAAAGTTCTCAATTAGATGGAGGGATATGCAGCAAACACTCACCACTTTTGTGAGAGTTCCTCACATTTTAATTCCCAAAGCTTAAGAAAGAAGTTGAGATGGGGAGATGAGGGAAAGACCCCAGTTCTATTTATATTTTTAAAGAGTGAGTCCAGGTTCTGAAAGCATACACAGATCTCCTGAATTCTTATGTCTAGCATTTATTAAAACTATACAATTAGCATTTTTAACTTTTGTGGACTCAAATACCTGGAGGAGGAGTTTTCTTCTTCTTTTTACAAATATTTTAATTGGGAATTAAACCATCATCATAAAGTCATAGGAAATAAGTGACAATATTAATTATGTGTATTGATACAAGTATGTCTTCCTTTATTGTACACTGGTGCTTATTGTGTAACTATATTAGTTGCTTGCTTCCTTTTCTGATTAAAATATCTTCATATGTTTATTATTACTGTCTACCTGTGAGTACATATCCTGAATTACTTTACTGTGCTTTCCAATTTCATATATAATTACTGTATTCACTTGATGTTATTTAGCAGTGTGAGTTCTAGAAAAATCAAATGGTTATTTAGATAGTATTTTTAATAATACAGATAAGAGGAAGTGACCTCAGTGGTTATCTTGTGTCATTACTTCATTTTAAAGAGCTACAGGAAATGAGTCTGAGAGAAATGTAGCACATCACTCGCTGTGGGTCAGGTGGCCCATGAGAGTCAGCACCCTTCAGTCTCAGTCCAATCTCCTGTCTTCTATACCTCATCCACTAAAACATGTTTCTAGCTGGGGTCTAAAATGGCACTCAGATTATTTTAGACAGAACTTGTGTATGGGATGGCCTTCTCTTTCTTCTTCGAAGCCTGATATGTTTCACTTCAATACTCAGTTTTGTGTTTATTTAGAAACACATATTTTACCCCAGCGGTCCCATGGAAGAACCATATTCTGCGTGGAATCACTGATACAGGGAAATAGCCACCAATTTTCCAAGACTTATCAAGTCATATCCCATAGGCAGAAATGCCAATCTGGTTTACAGTGCTACAGTCCCACCATATCTGAGGCCTCAACAAAAGAGGGGCACTCATGATTCGCTTCCTTTGCCCAGAGACTCCAGTCCTCTCTGCGCTCTTTTCTAGATTTAGCAAAATTCAATGATGGTGCTAAATCAATTCTTTTTTAACTTCCAAGGGAGAAAACACTGGCAGGATTGTGTTTTCTAGGGAGAGCTGTGTATAAATGAGAAACCGAGGAGAGCGGCAGAGCGCTCTCCTGTGGCCCTGCTGCTATGAGCTCTGCCCATATTGTCTCCTGCTTTTATATTAATTACAACTTGCATTATCAGCTGTGAGTCTGTAGCCCAGCAAATAGAAAATACTGCCCCTAGAGACCAAGCTTCTTGTATCTATTTTCCATCTCTTTCTATTGTGTTCCACTCAGTATTCACTGGTTTTCTCCTGGTAACACTGCTCTTTAACGCAATTACATAATAGCAAGAAGAGTACCATATTTGAGTCCCAATTATTAAAGCCACTGGGAATAGAAACATTTTTTCTCCTTGCCCTGGGATGTCTTTCTGATATCTTTGACCGGAGTACAGGACATATATTCTGGAATGCCCGTACCTGAATACTCAGCCACACTCTTACACACAGAGAGCATCTTTTTTTTATTTTTCTACATAAATAATGTGTTTTTACATGCTTTTGTATGCCACTTTGGTCTCTGGATTCACTAAACTTCAGCACACAATTTGGCAGAAATCCAGACCGTTATTCTTGAAGGATGTAACTTGCAAAGTATCTAGGGGGAAAAATTAGAAAAGAGTTATGATACAAACAAGTATTTTAATTTGAGAAAAAGAAGGGAACGGCCTTAATGAGGAATACACTGTTATTCACAGAGGTTCCAAATTTCTGTGACCAAAGAGGATTAGCTTTTTATTGACCAAATTATCATTATGCATCTTTATATAAATATCACTATGTGTGTATAGCTGAATATGGACAATTTCAAGGAAGCCACTCTTCAATCTGAACCCCACCAGGGTCTCTGTGTTCTTCCTTCTTCCAGAGTAGAAGACTCACACGTGCTATTCCTTCACACAGAATTCTTGAGACACTGTGGAAAGAGACATAATATTTTTTGGTACTGGGGATTGAACTCAGGACCTTGTGCTTGCCAGACAGGCATGGCGCCACAGAGTTAAACCCCTGGTGAGAGATAATACTTTTTCAAGAGATCGTTTTTGAGGGGTGAGAAGAGGAAAGTGATAGGGGATGGTAGGTTAGATAATCAATTTGAGAAAATTTGGGCACCGGGCTAAAACCTGAAGACTTAACTTACTTGGAGGAATAGGTTGCTCTTAAGGTAGTACTTGCATATGTGGCTCATTTCGCTCCCATTTTGTTTAGAAAACACCTCCTGGGGAAAAAATCATTGAAAGAAATACACTGAATTATAGATGCATGGGTACTGACTTTAAAATTTAGCCCAGGTCGTGTGTGTGTGGGTGTGTGCGCCCTGGATCGAACTTGGGACCTTGCACTTGTGAGGCAGGCACTGAACCACTGAGTTAAATCCCTGGCCAGCACAGGTTTGGCTGATGAGGACAATCTCCTGTTTTCAGTTGCAGGAAGCCCGGCATGGATCCTGCAAATCATCGCAATTCTAAACAGAAGGATTTGCCCCAGCTTCATCTGAACAATTATATAATAGCTATCGGATGACATTTGCCTTAAAACATAGTTGAGGTGTTACTGGTTAATTATTGTAATTTTCATGAGGGGTAAGGAGCTTTTATAGCAGCCGGCTTAATAAAAAGCCTGCAGTGCATAAAATTAACATTGCTTGCCATGTACACAGGAAAGTTTAGCTGAGGTAAATGTGTTGCAGCTACTGCATTTTCTAAAAGGAGGCTTTAGGCTAGGCCCTTGCAGAACTAAACTCCGACTGCGTTATTCTTTTGTCTTTTCTCATCTAATTCTTCCAGCTCTCTAGCTGATTACCATCCTGGAAACAGCTGACACGAAGACACTGCAAAGCTTGAAGAGCCCCCTGTATTTTGTCCAACTTTAGCTTGAAATTGTGTGTGTGGCTTCTAACTTAGATAAAAAAAGAGCTCACAACAGTGACTTCACTTAACACAGGCTAGAGAACTTGGTTTTCATTTTACCATACTTAGTTTCATTCACTAATCTACTTTCTCCAACATACCATTCTTTTAGAGACCTACACCTATGCTGTATTTGTGGTCATGAAATTTTTGCTCAGGGTTTTCACTTTGCATCAGTTGCTTGCCTGATGGCAATGCCAGTAGCATTATTTGATACAGATGTTGTTAATCCATAAGGTTCTGAATTATTTCATCGTTTATCAAAAACCCCAAATATTAATTTTCAATCAGTTTGTAGCAGATCTGTAGGGGGGGAATTTTTCTTTTGTTATCGTTTCAAGTAAGAATATTTCCTTATTTTGTGTCACCCAGGTTCCTGGTTTATTTTGATAACGTTTTATATACTCTATACATTTTGGAGTTTTAGGTGAGAAATATGATGGACTGATTTTTTTGGATAAGCTATTTGTGATGGTGATATGCCAAGAAAGCTTCTAGAAGGTCAGGAGGTTTGCATGTTAAGGATCCCTGAATCCTTATTTACCAGTTAAGAGCAGTGGTGTACTTCGAGAGTTTGATTTTTTTAAAAAAGTTTTTGCCCCTCCCCTTAATCTCCCAACAAATCCACTACTTGCCAGTAGGTCTGTGAGTTCAGCTGATGCATGTGGCGTACAGGTAACAAGTGCACAGCTTGACCCTTAAGGCTGCTGTGTTTCGTCTATAGCTCCTGCTCTCTGTTTCTGCCAGAGGAAATTCCATCTCTTGCCTGCCTTAATGTGGTGCTGATAAAGTCCTTCCTGTACATTAGAAATCCTGTTTTCCTTTAAGCAACAGCAGGGTATTGGGAATGATCAGGAAAGGGGAGGAGGAACCAGAGAAGAATATACTCTCAGCAAAGCAGCCTGAGCTATATAACTTCGCCTTTGCATGTCCTTTGAAACAAGTAGTTCTTCCAGAAAGTTGACTGCTCAGTCATTTAAAGTTTCCTTGAAGGTGAAGTGAAAGTCTTATCTTGCTTACTAGATGGCAAATTTCTCAAATTTGTTTCATTTAAAGAATTATCATTTGTGCAAATTATTCAGACCACTAATAATGTGTTAGGTAATGGTGCAGTGATTCACGTCTTTGCATCTGTTGGTTACATAATCTGTCACTTGGTCACAGTTTTGAGAGTTTACAGGTTATTTTAGGACAGTGCATTGGAAAGATGTAAAGGTCTGTTCTGTAAAGTCTTGAGCCTGTGATGTTTTGATGGAGTCACTGAGTATTGTAGATGTTAATGTTCTGAAGTATTTACTACCCCAAAGCATTGGGCCTGTTCTTGGAAGAATGTTCCCTCATTAGGATAGCAAAGTTAAAAGAGACTTTAATTTTAGGTAATTTTTTTCTTACTTCAATAATACTTTCACCATGATGTGAATTTCCAGTTAGCTTTAGCAAATATGTAAATGATGTAGCCATCCATCAGGTTCTAGAGCATCTTTCCTCCTCCTGTGCACTCGTTACTAAAAGTACGGCACACCCTAACACAGTGTGTATGTATGCCTAGTTCTACAGATGCTAATCTATACACGTTTTTTGTCTCCCTTTGCACTTCTCCTCTGGGTTCCTCATTTATGGCTGAAATGGTGACTGGACAAATTCCTTGACATCCTGACATCAGAACCCCTCATCATGGCGAGACCATGACGATGCGACCTCAACCCACTCAGCCGGCACGCCAGGACCCTCCAGCGGGGGCCATGCGTCCCAGAGCGGAGACAACAGCAGTGAGCAAGGTAAAGGGTCCAGAGTTGTCCTTGTGCAAAGTAGGTGTGATTGCAACAACTTGAGACTTTTGTGATATCAGCTGCGTCCTTGTAAACAGGAGAGTGGCAGGTGAGAGTATAATCAGCTACTATTTAGGGAAACAGTGTCTTCTCTTCTTCACTTATTTTGTTTCTAAAAAAGAAAGTCAAAGTGAGCTCTCTACTCTTTAAGTAGGCATTACAATAATGACTGGTTCTGCCAATTTTCTTTTAAACAAATTTGGTTATCTATGCTTCATTCTGGGGTTAAATAAATGGAACAACAGACCTACTTTACTGCTATAATTCGGTAGTTTTGATTGTACTATAAACAGGATATTTTGCTTATAATATCAACTATAAGAATTCTCATTTATCAAATAATTATACCTCCAAAGCACATCAGACCCAAAAATCTGTTCTTTGCTCCAGAAATACGGGGGAATTTTTATATGGAATCTTATCTTGGGAAAGTGGATTTTTAAATTCTTAGGAAATTATTTGTTCCTATTTCCATTTAGCTGACACAGTGACTTTTGTCACAATTCCTAAAAATTAGAATCATCAGAGAGCAAGGGGGCATTAACTTCAGATGTCAAGGAAATCTTGTGCCACTTAAAATAAATTTTACTGTTTTAAACTCACCTATTGCACAGAGAGCAGTTATATATTGGTAGGGATGACTCTTCGAGGGCTAAAATTATAATTTAAAGGGAGATGCATTATTAAATGTGTTCCAGGAAAGTGTATAGATTTTACTTTTTAATATTTTATATTAGATGGTGTCTGATCTCCTAGGTCTATTTCATCTCTATTATGACTGTGTTTATAGCCACAGTATTTAAGTATTAGACAGCCTTCCAAGTACAGGGCAGTATAGCAGCTTGAACTATAGTGATATACGTCATTTAAAAGGGGATGGTTGATATAGGGTGAATGTCTTCCCTCCTCCAGGTTTCTGGCCAGTGGTTTAGACTCCTGAGTTCTAGAAAAGTCTAGGAAAATAGAATATTTATAGAATGTGGTTCACTTGCAAATGAGTCCAAATCAGAATCCACCTTTTAGCAAGTTTGGAGCTGGCCTAGAGGTAAATCCTATGAGGTGGCAAACTGGAAGAACTTGTGAGTTGTATCTCTTTGGGTTTTATATACTAATTTTATGGTACCAGTTAGCCTATATATAAAATAGAAACTAAATTAGAAGGCGTTTCAGAGGTACCTTACACATAGATTTCAATTTGCAGTGCAACGAGTTGACGGTGGTTCCTTATCTCAGTGGTGTCAGATCCAGAAACCCTTCAACCCCTCCCTTCTTCCACCACCCCAAATTGTAACAGCAGAAAGGGAGAATGTATCTGTTGTAAAAACAAAGCACCCTAAACACTGCATAAAAGAGTGGGAAAGGAGACGCTGATTGAACAGTCTAACAAGGCCATCTTCCAGAGACTTCTTGTGCAGGAGGCTTACTTTGACCTTTCACTGCTCAGGAGCTGGGCGCTTCATTTTTCACATTCTTGCAATTACGTTAACGCTTCAAGCATTTCTGACTCTGAGTCAGCTAGCAACACCAGGCATAACTCAACACTGTGAGTTTTTCTCCTCTCTGTAGATTCATTAACAGGTCACCAAGGTCCCAAATGAAATTTAAAACTGACTGGTTCTGTTGGGTTGGTTGACTTATGGGATAGTAGGCAAAGTAGGAAGGGCCAAGGAGGAGAGAGGTGGAGAAGAGAAGACCCTAGGGTTTGGAGCAGCAAGTAGTTTCGGCAACAGGCGGAACATGATGAGTTTTTATTTTAGTTTCCCAGTTTTGTTCTGTTCTGTTTTGTTTTTGTTCAGGAAAGAGAAGACCTCTGAGACTCATACACTGGGTAGAAATGATGTGCACAAACCTCTATGCTGTGTGTAGCTGCATCCACTTATCCCACATTGAAGGGTTTGATCCCTAGAGGATTTTGTTCCTCTAATCATATCTCCATAGGATTAAAGAGTAGACACGGTAGCTTATGTGTGTGAGCACTAGGAAGTCAGTCATTTTACCGTGTTAAAGTTAGAGAGAGAGAGAGAGAGAGAAGAAAGTTAGGATTCCTATAAAGTGAAGATTGTTTAGGCATAGAGAATTTCCTACATAGCTTAAACTATCTGTCTGTGGCTAAAATTCACGTTTAGGGATATTCTGGTTTTTTAACAGCAGACTAAATTTTGAAGGCCAGACTTGCTTGTATTTTATCACACTCATGCCCGTATTAGTCTTTTAAACATGGTTTCAAGATTTTTTGGTATTTTGTTCCACTAAATTGTCCAGAGTAGCTTTTGGTGGAAAAGATTAATTATCTACTTCAGGGCAGAGTCAACAGAGGTATTGACTGAGGTTATGTATGCTTATCATAAGTTAAATCTCAGGGTTGGTGTAGAAGGGAAAACATGGGAATGTATGTTCTTTGTATTAAATATATTGTAATGTTTCATTGGAAACCAAGTTTTCAGTTTAAAAAGGAGTTTTCTTGCTTATTCAGAATTTATTAGCACAACAGGCATATGGAAAACTGTAAAATGATTCAGTTTCAAAACAAATGATAAACAGAAAAAATAGGGATGAATTGTACTAAATACAATATTTTCATACACATTTTAAATTAAACTTTAATAGCCATATGCTATAAAACAATACATGCATTTATGTTGCTTTATAATTTTTGTGAATATTTTTGCTTTAATGATTTGTACAAATCTTTACTTTGGAACCTAAAAATATCTCATTTTATGACCTAATAGTGAAAGAGCTACAGTTACACAGGTGAAAGGTCATATTTTCCTCCTTAGTGTTTGTGCAAGAAACAAAAAGAAGAAACAATTTTTTAAAATATTGTAAGAAATAAACTTGGTAAAATGCAAAACCTGACTTTACCGTATCTTTCCAAGAGCACATGCCTAGCAGTAAACTATATAAATATGAACCAGACTTTTCTTTCACTCTGATTTCTCTTGCTAAAAGCAGCCAAAGAGAGGGCATTTGTCTTGTTAGTCACATTAGAATGAGGAAGGAAATCTGGTTTTTCAAGGATAGAATCAGGGTACAGACTCAGAGCTCTGGGGAAGTAACTGGCCCTCTTTGTGTCTGGCTTCCCATCAGTAAAATGGGGCTTGATAATAAGGCTTGGGGTCCCTAATTCTGTACCTGCTGAGTCAAAAGCTGCTTTGTATTTCATTGTGTATTTTGCCAGAGCAGACTTGGGAGCAGCCTCCTTGTTCCTAGAGCATTTTGAGAGCCTTAGATGAAAGGCACAATATATGTATAAAGTATTATTATTATTGATGGGTTTGTGTAACTCCCATTAACGCTGATGGGAGTTCTGCATGTGAATTGGCAAGAGAATAGACCCCTCAGTGTTTAGAGCACATGAAATTTACATTTTTTCCACTGCTGTAATTGAGATGTTGACAAATTGGAGAATATTGATGAGCCTTTGTTTTAAGTATTTTGTGCCAAGTTTGTTTTATTTTTCCTGGTTTGAACAATGGTATGGGTTCAGCAGCAATGAATAAAAAGGGTAGAGTAAAGATAACTTTGTAATTCAATATTTTGATGTGCCAATATGAAATAAATTGTCTTAGGCAAATGGAATATGCTGTTTTAATCATTAGCTATGCATGAAAGAAAAATTGATGTTGACATCTTTGCTGTAAAATCGTTGTAATGGGGCCTTCCTTACAATTCATTTTTGTAAAATTCATTTTGTACATTTTGCAGCAATTGAACAATCCCTGCACTGTGAATAGGCAGGATTCCCAGAAATACCGAGACAGTTGGCCCAGTAACTGCACACACCACACACGTTAACCATACTGTTGCCAGACGCAGTTTAACCTAAATGCAGTAGCACTTGGGCATCTCTGATTCTAATCCTTCCGGACTCTGAACTGCAGAGCCAGCATGGTTTCCTTCTACTCTGCCACCCATTTTATCATCCAGGCAGTGAGGCTGGAATTCCACAGCTAGACATTTAGCTATGACACAGTTCTTCAGTAATAATCAGGGTGTTGAAATCTACTGTTATCCCTTACTAGTGAATGCCAGTGCTTCTAGGTAAGCAAGCCTCTAAGAGATCGTTGAACTTTGGAGTTTATAATACACGTGATAGTTATAAAATAGTATTTTTCCTCACCAAAATATTGGAGCTACATATTCAAAGGGTACGGGGGAAAGCTCTCAGTCCCACTTACTGTGGGTCCTGAGTATGTTCTACTGAGATTTTTTATTCAGTCTAGGAAAACTCTTGTCAATGGAATGTTTTCATAGTGCAGCAATCTCTTTAAAATAACCCTAAATACAATATGACAGATGCCATCTGGCATAATCTTTTGCTAGTTGCTTTTAACTTTTATTTTTCCTAGAGCTAAGTTCATCCCAAACTGGTCACTTACTGTTATGATAAATACAATGACATTTCTTTTTCTTCCTGTCCTCCTAATTGTATCAAATTTTTTCTGAGACTGTAATTGATAATTGAACATGTCCGAAGAAGAAGCTGTTGTATGTGGAATATTAATATTGCATTTTCTTTTTTTCTCCCAACCCCCGATGAAAATTTTTTTTAAAATACCATCTTTCAGGCATTAGCAAACATCCAAATAATTTCTGTTGATTTTGTTAGGATTTTTTACAATAGTAACTATTAGAAATAAAATCATACTCTTCTAATAAATAACTGCTCTGCAAGCATATAATCGTGCCCATAAATGCTTAAAAGCTTTCTATAATTGCTGTTAATTTTGAATAATTTCTTCCTATATGTATCAACTTACTTGAAAAATCCAGAGTTGGGATTTCTATATATATTTTTTTAACTTAGTCATGGAAAGGGATGTCTCCTGATGCCAGTTAGAGTTTAATTTAGAGTAGTAATTAAACTTGAATACTGCCTCATAAACAAAAGATAAACAATAAACCAGCCACGTTCCCTGCTGTTTCATAGCTTTCTTTCCCAGATG